AAACTCCCTAACCTGATGTACACGAACACCAATATGCTTGCTATGTGGTTTATATGTAGTGTCGCTGAAGGTAGAAAGCGAGGCTTGATTGTCATTAAACAAAGTCGAGACCGGGAGGGGGGTTCTTGTAATCTCCATAACAAGTTTCCGAAACCACACAAGTTCTTGTATCGTAGTAGCACTTGCGATGAACTCTGCATCGGCTGTACTACTGGCAGTTATTGATTGTCGCTTCGAGTGCCACTGAATCACTCCAGAGGCCAGAAAAAATACGTATCCAGAGGTTGACTTAAGTGTGTTTGCATCGCCCGCGAAGTCAGCATCAACGAATCCTGAGATCACCATCTCATCATATCGTTCTCCCCCAAGACCAAGCCTTAGACATAAACTTTTCGTTCCAGCAAGGTATCTGAGGATGCGCTTCGCACATATCCAATGACGCTCAGCCGGATCTGCATTGAATCTCCCAAGATATGAGACCGCAAATGCAATATCTGGCCTTGTTCCCATGGCAATCCAACCTAAACTACCAATAAGTTGAAGGTATAGAGTCTTATCGCATGACTTCTCCCCCTCAACGCGGACAGCTGGCTTCTCCCTTTCCATTGAGGTGCCAACTGATCTGCACTCTCCCATGCCAAACCGTTCCAACACCCTGGAAATATACCCTTCCTGACTCAATAGTGTGACTCTTTCTTTTGTATCTCTCGTCACAACCATCCCAAGAAAGTTGCTCACAGGTCCAAGATCTACCATCTCAAACCGAGCGTTCAACTTCTTACTGACTGACATCACCGCTTCCTCCATGCCCGCAATCAGCATATCATCCACATAAAGTGCCAAGATCATGCCCTCTCCATGGGTATAAACACAGCAGTCAAATCTTCCTCGACGAAATCCCAACTCAGAAACCAGAACTCGGTCTATCGTCGTATACCAGCATCGAGGAGATTGCTTAAGCCCATAAAGGCTTCTATTCAAACGAGCAAGATGTGTGCTAAAGACACCTTTGGGAAGCGTAACATAAACTTCTTCGTCCAACTTGCTGCCCAGGAATGCGGTAACAACATCCATCTGACATACAGCATAACCTCTTGCTGCCGCAACTGAGAGGACAACCCGTACACTTGCCAGACTTGCTACCGGTGCAAACGTATTTGTGAAATCCAGGCCCTCTACTTGTCTAAAGCCTTGCGCAACAAGTCGGGCCTTGTACCGAGTTGTCTCCCCTTCTGGATTCAACTTTCTTTGTAGGATGAGCTTTGTTGGTATCGCCTTTTTGCCTCCCAGGAGCTCTGAAACAAACGTCATCACCTCATTCTTTGCTATTGAGGCACATTCAGAATCTATTGCCTCTTGCCATTGTGATGCCTCATCTGACTCCATTGCTGACTTGCAGCTGCTTGGACCAGCTTCCACCATATAGATAGCAGACATCATAGCTTCACCTGCTCCAGATGAAGTTTGCCTCCCTTGTCGTGATCGTAACCTCCGACCACTCTCCGTAGCTGGTAGCTCTCCTCTTTGTACTTCCCAAAAAGAACTTTCTCCATCTGACTCAAGTTCTCGTAACATTCTTAACATTTTGTGTGGCTTCTTTGGCTCAACAACTGCCTCACCGCTTTCCGAGCCGGAGCCCTCACTTGTATGTCCAATCTGCTTTTCTTCCGCATCTGCTTCTTTTTTGTGGCTTTCCAACCTATTCGGCGAGGGCTCATCAAACTCATCCTCCCAGGCTAACCATTCTTCCCATGGCTGTACTGGTGGTGCATAAAACCGTTTAGAAACACTTTCACCCTTTATCTGAGGAGGGCTATAGTATGAGGTTGACTCCTCAAACTGCACATCACGAGAAATCAGGAACCTTTTTGCAATTGGATCATAGAGGCGATAGTGTGTCGCCGTTTCACCGTAACCGATAAAGATGTACTTCTTTGCCCTCTTATCCATCTTGCGTCTCTTCTCTTTACAGACTTGCGCATAGGCAGTACAGCCCCATACACGGAGATGATCATAGCTTGGCCTTTTCCCAAACCAGAGCTCGAAAGGAGTATACCCATCTGAGAGTGCACGAGTTGGAAGACGGTTTCGGACATGAATCGCGGTCATCACAGCTTCTGCCCAGTACTCCTTTGGTGCATTGACTGCATGGAGCAAAGCACGCGAGGTCCCGATCACCGTCCGGTTTGCCCTTTTGCTCACACCATTTGACTGAGGTGTGTATGGAGTAGTACGCTGCATTTCGATTCCTTCTTGCTGAAGTAGATGGCAGAATTCATTGGATGTATATTCGCCTCCCCCATCTGTACGTAGCTTCTTAATCAATCTCCCTTGCTGCTTTTCAACTAAAGCCTTATATTCTCTAAAGCGACCAAAGGCTTCTGACTTTCTTTTCAGAAGGTATCCAATCTTGTACCTTGTAAAGTCATCCGTAAATAGGAGAAAATAAGAGGATCCTCCGAGAGACTTCGGATCCACAGGTCCAACAATGTCGCTATGGACAATTTCAAGTGGTTGAGTGGCTCGGGAGGCGGTGGAAACACTAGGAAATGGCTTTCTTGTCATCTTGCCATAGATACAGCCAGCACAAACACAGCGCGGCACACACGCAAGTCGCGGAATATCGTTTTCCTTCATTGATAAACTTCTCACCGCATCTGCCCCTAAGTGGGCTAACCTAAAGTGCCATAGAGCAGCCTCTTTCACACTTTTCTCATCAACTGTAGGACCCACCACATCTCGGACAAGCATGGCATCTGTACGATCTGACAGGGTTCTAAGAGTATACAGTCCGCCAACCTCAGGGACCTCTATACACATCCCATCTTTTCTTCTCAAAGAGGCACCACCACCTGGGTGAAATTCAGCAAAGACTCCTGATTGCCGTAGTTGGGAGACCGAAAGTAAGCTGTTTCTTCCGCAAGCTGGGACATGTAAAACACCAGAAAGGACTAGTGGTATACAATCCATCTTACCACTATCCCAAACCATAAGGATAACATCTCCTTTGCCAAGCGCATCAACCTCATTATTGTTCGCAACCGGTATCTTGTATTCACCTGCCACAATAGGTTCGCAGGAATTAAATGACTCCCGTTCACCTGTCACATGAGTACTGCAGCCGGAATCTAGGAGCCATTGATGTGGGTCAACCGAATATTGCAGTGAACTGAATGCCGTAAAGAGGGAGTTATCGGGCTCCTTTGTAGTTGCTTGGGCTGCTGTTGAGACCTTATCAGCACGAGTACCCTTTGCGGTATCGGACCGAAGTTTTCGACACTCGCTGCGCCTATGGGCCTTCTTTTGACAATAGTAGCAGGTGATTACCCGCTCCCCCGATTGGCCACTGCTGTTGTGACCGGACAGGATTCTGCGATTTCTAATTCCTTCCCCTTTTGCTGACAGAACCATATCACTGGGAGAAGCCCCAACCTTATCGCGAATCATTGATGATTCTCTTGCCTTAATCGCTGCAATCAAGTCCTCTAGTTGATCGGGCTTGATGATAGTTGCCTGTAAGTCTCTCCACTCACGCCAGGAGTGAGGCAATCCATTTAGCAAATAAAAGGTCTTTTCGCGGGGCTTTATCTCTTCTTCTGCTTCTCGCAAACACTCGATAATACGCTCAATCTCATGGACACATTTTGCAGCCGAATCGTACTTTTCTAAGCTGCAATCGAACAGAGATCTCCGAAAATAGTAGAGTGCCAATCCGAGTGCTTTGCGGTAGCCGTCTGCCAATTTGTCCCAAAGGGCCTTGGGATCTTCATCGTAGGAATCTGCCGTATACTGGGCACACCTCTGAGGTTCCATAGCATTCCGAATTTTTGCTGTAATACGATAACATTTGCGGAGGTATTTGTTATATGCGGTAACGACTGCTGGATCTGTGCTTTCTTTGTCAGGAGCAATCTCACGGCCCGAGATAATCCACCAAAGGTCTAACTCCTTTAACTGATCAGACATCCTCTGATGCCATGGTCCAAAGTTTGACTCTCCCAGAAGTGCAAAGGCAGGACGGCCAGAGGGAGCCAAATCGACAAATTCGGACATTATTGTAGAATAACAGGATTGGAGGTACTGCGACACAAGGTTTCAAAAATGAGGTAGAAAGGTGGTGTGTGAACGCAGCTAAGAAACGATTCGAAAAAGATTCACGGTGTTGCTAACCGTCTATCGAATGGGCGATTTCTTAGTGACTGTGCAGAACACGCAAGAGGCTCATAACCTGTTGTGAGGTGGGATCGATGGACAAACACGCAGACTATCGTGATGGAGGAGAAAGGAACTTCGTTGCTTTTCTCAGGAGCCAGGCTCCCAGCTAACTACAAGACACTAAACAACATGTGACTGCTCGCTCCACCCTTGTGCCCCTCAGGCATTCAAACCCTCATCCCCAATGGTGTACACCACACCAAGAATCATCTCTCCTCAACGCTCAACATCTCTATTCAGGAAGATGCACATGATCACATCATCTCCTGGTGCCCATATACTCTCAACACTTATGGGTCAATGCTTAGAATTAAGATCCAAGATTCTAAACTGCAGCGAGGACATAAACGAAAGCCTTCGACTGTACCAGGAGGCTTGAGATTGTCACACGTCACCCCACAGGGATCGGATCAGCGCTGGCCGCAGAGCAGCTTCCCATACTATTTTCAACCGGGCGGTTTCATGAATCGAGTACATTGCTCGAGCGGGCGGTCGGCTTGATGCCAAGTGTAAATCTGCGATTATTAAACCGAGGTGATCAGCAGCATATACTCTCCGGTCCCGAGGGGCTCTCGTCCGCGGCCGCGTCTATGGCTCTTTGTGCTGGCAGGGAAGCCTACCACAGCCTTCAGCTTCTAGAGCTCGGTCGCGGAATAATTATGGGATTTACAATCGACCCAAGGTCGGAATTTTCAGAACTTGGAAAGGACCATCGGTTTGAATTCCATCAACCCCATCGCCTCCCTGCTGAGATAGACTCGCCAATAGATGGAATAAATGGCGCAAGCTTCGAGCGGCCCGATCAAGCCCAAAATCGTGTTGGATCCAGGCATTGGGATGCCGTAAAGGAGATGGATGTAATTCTGGATCGCATCCGGACGTTCCCCGGATATTGCGGGTTCCTGCTCCCACCACCCCTGGAGGATCTGATGAAACTAGCAGAAAATGGCCCCCTTGTTGTCTTCAACTGCACTCCCCATAGGAGTGACGCCATAATCGTAACCACCTCAGGGATAACTTCCTTAGAACTTCAGAAATTGAAATGCGAAGAGACAAGCCGCTGGATGACTCAATTTGGTAGTTTCGGAGCAGCAGGGAGTTGGATTAAACGACGTCAGGATAACAGGAAAATGAAAGACCTCCGGATTCGGCTATGGGATGCCGCCGTTGGACCCGTTTTTGACGACCTTGAGCGCAGTGGGACCATTATTTCTAATAGTGCTTCTGATACCAATTTGAACCGGATTTGGTGGATTGGAATAGGGCAACTGAGTATGGCGCCTTTCCATGCTGCTGGGGATCATGAGTTAGGATCAACCCGTAACACTTTAAGTCGAGCCATCTCCACCTATATACCAACAATAAAAGCCCTCAGCTATGCACGCCAAACACTGCCACCCCTATCCGGCGGATGCGCTACTCCTTTCTCAGCGGGGCCCTCCGAGTAGGCCCAAATTCGCAAAACACGGAACCCTACCTTACTAGTCGTTCCCATGGCAAAAACACCTGGCGCAGCAGCTCTACCCGGTGTCAGCAGTGAAGTTCAATATATACACGATTCGGCCACCACAAATACGGTCGCGACTATGCTGTTGAGTAACCCAACCCCAGCCGGCGTCCTCAGACAAGTTGTGCAACACGGCATTGTTCATTTTGACGGCCATCGGGTTTCCGAGATCAACCCTTCGGACAGCCATCTGGTCCTTCTCACCCCGGATGGTACTGAAGCCGGTAAACTAACCGTTCGAGATATATCGAGTGTTGCGGCGAAAACTGCACAGCTCGCCTATCTTTCGGCCTGGTCCTGGGCCAAAAACCCTTCTTCTAAATTGGCAGACGAAGTCATACATCTCGCAAGTGCCTTTCAACTTGCCGGATTCAGCCATACCCTTGCAACCCTCTGGGGAACTGATGACCAAGCCTCAAGTGAAGTTGCAAGAGACTTCTACAACCTGCTTTTCCAACACAAAGGATACAGCGATTGGCACCAACGGATCCCTACAGCCTTTCATCAAGCTGTGAAGAATTGCCGCGAGAAACAACCGGGGAACTTCCCGACTTGGGCCCCTTTCCTGCATACGGGAGCTTAAACCATCAGGTTTTGTAACCCTTTCTGCAAATTATTGACTTCCCCTCTTCTTTCATTAAACCGACGTTGCACCGAAATAAACCGGTCTTCTTTACTTTTTCCATACTAGCTAATGCTCCCCTTCATGTTGGTGCTCCTCCCCCACTCATTGCTCCGGGCCCCTCCACCCACCAGTCATTATTGCACGAAGTTGTCTCTTTTTACACATACGTCGCCTTCCTGTTTTGTTATTCACAGCGGGGTTTTTTTTTCAGGCTACACTTTAGCCTCTATCGAGAGGGTCGGCATTTGAATGGGTGATTCCTACAAGAATCTCATCTTATGTGTTCCGTTGGCCGATGTCCTTGACGAATATATTTTATCGTAAATGTCTTCATTAGTTTGTGGTGTCCGTTTCTTTCTTCTCCTATATAATTCCAACCGGAGAGTGGATATGAATGGCATTCCTTTGATGTAATTGATCATAAGCTACTTATCATATGATAATTCTCTCCTATTGCCGCTATACCAATAGAATGACGCCCCCCACCAATGCGAGTGATAATTATATTCCCATATGAACTGCAATCTGGTCATCGCCACAAATAAAGGAGCTTCGTGATTCACCGCTCGAAAGAGAATACCTCCCCGATGCTTGGAAGCAATACCTGTAACATTACATACTCGTGATTGTCCTGCATGGTATGATGCACCGTAGGAAATTTGCCCACCAGACAAACAAAGCCATAAGCCATGAACTGCTTAGCTAAGCCCCCCCAAAATCCCTATTACTTACACCGCCCGACCCCACAAATACCTCCCAGGCTGAAAACACTTCCTCGGCCATCCGGTTTGATATCCCTCCCACTTTTCAGATAGTTTTTGCGGGCTACGGGAAGCTCGGCCGGCTATTTGGTCCCCATTATTGGCCCCGACAGAACCCAGCGTCCCCTGTTCGCATCCCGTTATCGGTGAGACCCTATATTCAACCGTAGATTTTCCACTGGGCTGTAGATCCTGGTATGATATGATACGGATATACCGAGTGATTTCTCCAATCCGCTCTTGAATCATTCCCCCCCCCGCCAAAAGAGGGAAAAAGAAATCTGCGGTAGAATCCAGAAGTGAGCTAGAAGTCGATGGGAAAAAATGCGTTTCGGTCTGATTCATCTAGGGAAAAAAAAAATCAACCTCTCGGCGGAGGTATGGTGCGGCGCTAATTTTTGGTGTTATTACTCGGGAGGGTTCTCGGATACTGGTAGCGGGCGGTGGGGGCAGCAAATTTGGCGACGTTCAGTGAATATACGCATGGCTGCGATCCTGCTTGGAAAACCGCACGTCCGCGGAACGAGGTGTAGCGGTGTGGAAGTGCTACGTAAAAGATTTGAATGCACTCTGTTATGTTCGGTAGGGTTCTTATCCCGTAAAAATTTCCTGTTTGGGGATGTCTTCGCAGGCTGGATTCTCGGTATATAGTCTGGCTCCTCCCCTTCGTGGTTAGAGATGAGAGATACCAATTGATACTGTTTTCCGTCTATCCATATGGGCCCTGCTCCATCGCTTTTGTACCTCTTGGCTATCGGCCATATTTCACGAACGTCAATCTCCTATTATTATTACTCCTCTTGTCCTACCATTTACAAGGCAGTTCTTCAGCAATCCCAGCAACCGTATTCCGCAAATGTTGCCTAGTTGGGAACACCATCCAGTCCTAGAAGTTAACTAAGATACTTCCACACCGGCATGAAGTGCCTCCGCCTTAGATCGATGATTCCCCCAACCAAGCATAGTAAGGGGGGGGGGGGGGCGCACCCGGTAGTACCGTCTTGCTTTTGCCCCCCGCCCCCGGATTAGTGTCATTCTCCCCAGCATTCAAGGTAGAAACAAGCGAAGGAAATTTGCCCTTTTGTCGCTGGACACTTGGCAGATTGTGAATATTTGCCTTTGGCTAATACCGTACTCGTACTAGGTGCAGTCTTCGCTCAAGAATACCCCCCTCCAAGGCTTTTTGAATGGTGTTTGAGGCCGGCCTGCAACTCTGCAATTCCTTGTCACCTTGGCTGACTAATCCCGGATAAACTACCAGTAACCTTCAATGATACACAGATATCCTGGCGCCAAGGATCTGCGCTTTTACGGGACCTTAGAATTTAGCAGTCCCGATATAATAGGGAGTTTATGAGCAGCAGTTGCAGGACGTCACTCAGTTCTTAGTGCCATTATTTCTTTCTTTCCTAACCGGAGATACTGCGGGGGCCAGAATATTTGGACCATGTGCCCGGACATCGGAGCGCGCCCCTCGGCAAGCTTTGGAGCCTTTCTCCCCCCCGCCCTCGGGAATCGTGTGGTTAGGTATCCACTTTGCCCTGTCAATTCAAGAGGGAGAATTAATAAGGCCCGGAAAAAGGTTTAGGAAGAATTATGTATCATAAGTTAACCAGTTAACCGATACCACGAGAGACTGATATCCCTTTCCTCTCTTCTTCCCCTCCAGCTCTGTTCAAGATAAGTATTAAAAGTCCAAAGCCGAGTTAGGGCGGGCACAATTGTTAAACTAGGTTGGGTTGCCGGAAGTAAAAAAACGGGTGGTAGGCAAGTTGGCGATGCTTGTATATGCCTTTTCAATAGGCCTCATAAGCACGGGGGCGTGGGAGGATCGGATGGGTTCGTGTTCATGGGTTCATGATCAGGATCGCAACGTCTCCTATCAAACCATCGGTCGACAGGCAAGTGCCGGTGCAGGTGAGTAGCATGAAGGGAAAAGACGAAAAGGGAAAGGGGTTAGTTAACCTCGCGATCTCATTTTCTGAAAATGTTAGCGGCCCCGTTTGCCTTTCCCGCCCACCAACACCCGAGGGAACAGCTAACACCAAAGACTCTATGGAAAATTTTGGCAGACCATGTGTTGAGATGACGGTCAGTCCTGCACACGGTTTTTCCTGACAAGAGGTGTTACTAGGATAATATCCAAGGTGCAAAAACATGTTAAATATTATATTAAGCGAAATTCTGCGGAGGATAACCGGTGCAACAGGTATGTAGAACACACGGTCTGCCAAACGCCCCCTGACTAACTCGGGCCAGGCTGCGCACATGAGGGCATGCACGAAACGCGGAAAACACATTTTTCTATCATAGCGAATATGATAGTATGATACGGGGAATGGTGAGGTTGCCGAGGTGCTCTGGCCCATTCCGAATAACCCAAAGCTCGCCAGTACTCAGATCGCTTCACGGAAGAAGAGATATCTACATGATCTCTCCCTTTGTTTGAAGCGTGCGTGATGCCCTATCGCCCGATAGAATTGTTTTTGTTAGTCAGTTATTGCCAACGGGCATTCAGACTTTGAGTTTGGCTCGGCTGTTCCTCTTTCGGTGATCCAGTCTCAGAGGTCGCTCACTATACTTGTGCGGAATGCTTTCAGAGGCCACCCAACCGTGAAACCTACTCGTACGATACCACACTGTTAAAAACCCTGAAATCTATAATCAGATTATCAGCCGGCAACTGCTGGCCCGCCCATGATGGGATTTATTGACGGGTTAATGGAATTATGGATACCGGTTGACACCATCCAGCGCGCTGATCTCGTCCCGTGTCATGAAAACACTCATCCTTCTCCGCCGCTTTCCTACCCAGAATCTGGAGGTTACGGTTCTGGGGGAGGGAGTGGGTTTCAAGTGTTTTCATGGTATTGCAGTTGACTTCTGCAGCCTCGGACGAACTTAGGTCCCCAGGCTTTCCCAAGACCGGAACCTGACAATTGGCTTGCGGCTAATCGGTAAGCTCGAGTGAGGTGCTTATAATTGTAGTCGGGGCAATGCAGAGGGCAAGTACCACTGCGGGGCCTGGCGGTTAGCCATTTGCGGTGGCATTGTGTGGCTCGGGTTTAGGTGGGACTCCACAGTGGCGGAAAACGGTGATAATGACTAACACTATCACTTCACCGTCACACCATAAGTGCAAATAGT